CGGCTGGCGATCGCGGGCCGGGCTGGCCGCCAGTCGCCCCGGGCTGCGGGCGAGGACGTCCCCGGCGGCGGAGGATCCTCGGGTTGAACGGCGGCCGGTCCCCGCGGAGGAACTTTTTAGAGCCTTTGGGTTCCAGCTCCGAGACTTAAACTGGTTTCTAAATCTATCTATCCATAGGTGTGAGCTAATAAAACATTTTCTCCTTGAAGCAGCCGCTTATGATGCCATCTCCTTTATGTCCGAGACACTTGCCTCGCTTCTTTGGGTTATAAACTTTTGATGCCAGACCTCTGCTGAACGTACCCAACTGAATCTTAAAGTAGCATCTTGAAGAGAGAGGCAGAGAAAGAGCCATCTGTGACCTTCATCCCTGCACCTTCCTTTTTCCTCTCCCTTCCCGGCTGTCTCCCTGCTCCCCAGAGGAGCGTCCAGGAAGCTCTTTTGGATGCAGGAGGGGGCATCTGGTGGTACTAGACTGGAAGGCTGAGGCAGGATCTGAGGAAGGATCTTTAGACTCCGGAGAGCCTGGACTCCTTTCTTCCCCCTCTCTGCTTCTGGCTAGCTCCATCCCTTTCTTCTGCCCACACCACTTCCCGAGACCCGCTGGAGTGGGGCAGGGGACCTGGACCGCGCCACTCCGGAGTTCTGGGAAGTTGCGGCTGTCGAGAATGGGGGTCTGTGGGTACCTGTTCCTGCCCTGGAAGTGCCTCGTGGTCGTGTCTCTCAGGCTGCTGTTCCTTGTACCCACAGGAGTGCCGGTGCGCAGCGGAGATGCCACCTTCCCCAAAGCTATGGACAACGTGACGGTCCGGCAAGGGGAGAGCGCCACCCTCAGGTAGGGAGCTGTACATCAGTAGGTGACTGAGCCCCTAGCCAGGGCTTACAAGGGTAGGGGCAAGGAGAACTGACCTGCTTTCTTGGGGGAGGACTGGAACTTCCAGAGGGCCTTAGTGGACGCAAGAGGTGCCACTTGCTCACTGTGGCAGCTGGCGCCCATTCTCCTGGACAGGTTTGTCATTTGCTCTGGGTTTTCTGGTCCAGCATCTTGCACGTGAACCCTGAATCCTTGTTTGGGACTCCGTATGTCTGAAACCATGGCATAGCTGGATGGACTTTTGGCTTAGCTCCGGGAGGAGAACCTGAGAGCAAAGGAGTTGAAATACCGGGGGGATTAACCTGGTGGCTCTCTCACAGGCAGGAAGGTCTGTGATGAGGCAGAGGTAATCCTCATGATCTGCTGTCTCACCCCTGTTCCCGAGATACCTATAATTTCAGCTTCTGGAACTGCTAAGGCTGGACCATGGCCCTTTATGAGTCTGTTCAAGATGCAGTCGTCCCTGTCACTGGTGTGGTGCTCCTGGGGCCCCCATTATAATTTATGAGGGCAGTTTCGTCTTTGCAGGCTGGGGCCAAGGAGAGGAGACATATAGCTTTTATGCAGCGACATCATTCCTGTCTGAAAAGCACAAAAAGAAAAGCTTTTTGTTTTACCTTAATGAGTTACAGAGAAACAGTTAGATGCTCCAGGCAGGGGGGTAGAGAGTCTTCGAATATGAACCTTTGGGGACTGGGCCTGCTGCAGCAGAGACTTTAATAAAAATGCAGCCACCACTTTCCACCAGCTCAGCAGATATCATCTTTTATCCCTTTAATGAGGCAGTTCTGGTCCTAGGAGACAGATTCAGGGATGTCCCAGCTTAACTCTGCCTCACAGCATACACAGGGTGAATGCATTTGCCCTATCTGTGACTTTGATGGTGATGGTGAAAATAAAGCATTTGTCCTGGGGTCTTCAGTCAAAGAACCTGGCTTCTCCAAGGAACCAATCCGGGTGGGGTTTCCTTCCTATTCTCTTGATTGAACTCTGTCTGTAACTTGGCAGATGTCTCTGTGAGGTGGAAAAGAAAAATCTCTGGGATGCTTGCTAATCTTTCTTAAACCTAAGCAACAAGGATGAATTTTTGCCAGTTTGGGTGGTTCGTAGCTGAACATCCTTTGAAAGTGGAGAGCAGATGCTGAGCCCTGCCTGCTGGTTCACAACATTGAGGCATGGTAGGAGGAGGAAGGAGTAAGAAGAAGGAAATAGAGAGGCAGTGGAGAATGGAAGAGCAAAAAGAGGTGGACCATCCACCTGATGGCAGGAGAGAAAAACCCTCTAGGCTGACGAAGAAATAACGTGCCTATTGTATTGTGTCAGAGAAGTTTCAGGAGTACCCTCCCTGACATGTGACTTAAGGAATGACTATTTGTAGCAGCTCACAGACCACAGTTAAATGAAATGGTGGTGGGTGAAGGCTGTTTATGAGGCTGCTATACACCTCTCTTCACATCCTATCTAGTAATGGGGGCAAAGACATCTCAATGTTGAACCTTCTGTGCACGTCCTACCCCTGAAAGTTAAACCAGAAACTCAAAATCCCCAAGCTTTCTGCTTTCTGGGCTGCAATAAGAAGGTTCTACCAGCAGAGGGCCAGCTTTGATCTACTTTTTTTTTTTTTTTTTTTTTTTAATTAGCTGCTGGCCTGTTTTCATGATCTTTAATTCTAATGTCTAGCAGCTGGGCTTGGTAATGGGTCTGAGAATAAAAAATAAGAAAGCTGAATAGTTGCTTTTTATGCATTGTAGAGAAAATAAAACTTATGTCTTCCAAGTACAACTGTTATCTGTTACCTGATAGCATGCTTCATTTTTAAAAATGTAGAGACTTGTCTTATGTTGATTTTTCTTCTTCTCTTCTGTGTAATTTGCCCGGAATGGAGAAATTCAACACATCATCCACATATTTAAATCTTTTTAATGCCTTTTTATTTTCTTCCCTTTTATTACTTTCCTACTTTATGTCATTCCTATGATTTTGCCTTTGATGCATTCTCATCTTCCTTTCTTACTTTCATCGTTTAATTCTTAATATTTCCTGAGGTTTAAAGGTTATGATTTCATTGTTATCACAATATTTTGTAAAATGTTGCCAATATCTCCTGCAAATGTCTGAGAATCCCACTTGCATTCTCTCTTTTTTTGTTTGTCTTCCACCAATCCTTGGTTTATTGGCTAGCAGCTTTGTGCCTATCTCAGTAAAAACTTATTTGTCAGCATTCAGAAGAAAAGTGCATGCTTTTGTCTCTGGAAGCCCAAGGTCTCAGCCCCAGATAGGCCTGCGGTAATATATTTGTGTTGTTTTTGCTTTAAAAAAATTGCACTTCTTACCTATGCTCACTCTTTAGGCTCCTTGAAGATGTTCTGTTGGGAATTCAGTACACGGGAATTTAATGTTCTGGACACATCAAATGTTCAGGATGTATAGAAAAATGTTCCCATTCACATCAGCCTCAGAGTTTTTATTCACTGTGGCTTTGCCACCCAGGAGCAACACATTCCTTGCTTGTTACTAAATCCTGTATGAAATCACACAGGAAGCCCAAGACCTAGTGGGAAAAGCACTGGGATCCAGAAAACTGGGTCCTTCTTTGGATTTTCCAGTGAAAAAATTGCCTGGTTTAGAGAAGGATGAATTCCTTCCTTGGAAACAGCAGCCTGGTTGTGATAGGTCTTTGATTGCATTGAGGGACATTATGAAGTGATATGCCAAAGATGACACTGAAGATTTCAACGTGGATGAAACTCATTTTCTATAAGTGAGGCAATATTATCTTCCTCATAACTACTTCACAGGGCTACTTGAAAAGTAAAAATAATTATTTGAATATTGAGTTATTTTGCCTTCTTGGAAGAGAGATGATATGGAAAATGAAGGTGGTATTCACTATGGCTGAATTATAGCTTCTATGAATCTGATTTGAATTCATTATTACAAATGGGCCCTCTTGGCCAGAATCATTTCATTACAATTATCTGCTGTTGGGTTAAAAATGTTCTGTGCCTTTCCTTTAGATTAGATGTGACAAGTGTCTAGAAGTCCTGTGTCTAAATCCAAGCCCACATTAGGAAAGGAGCCCAGATGTTTGTGTGGTCAGTTGGTGTCTAATAGTGCAAGTCAGCTGCACGGTGACAGCAGGTGGACTTGCTTCTGTCAGCTCTCAGGTGGCTTTAGTCCTCAGTGGAACCATGTCATCCGTATCCATGAACATTTTCAGAGTTGCAGGAGGATAGGGGTTGCTGTAAGGAGCTCACTGGAGAGTGCCCACCGATAACTAGATATTTTGTTATTTATTTACATATTTTGGTATGGTAGGGTAATCTGTCTTGCTGTCCTAGGTTTGCTGATCTGGGATTATGCTCAGTAACTCTTTTCTAAAATGTTCTTGCATTTGCATTGGGCATTTTGAGCTAATCCATTCAGAGCCACAATTTGAGGGTTAACTACAACCAAGAATAATCAGATGAGATTTGGTGTGTTCAGGGTGCAGAAGAGCTGAGCTAGAGTCTGAGCAGCGGGATTTCACCGAGTGACTGGGGCAATGAAGTTCCTAGGGACAGCCTACTGCTTGCTTGGAGTGCTTTTCTGTATTTTGCCCTCACCATCAGCTGATTTTATGGTGTAAACGATGCAACAATGCAACTGAGAGTTGGTTATTCCAAATAAACGCATACCTTTCTGCTTTTCGGTGTTTAGGGGGTCTAAGCTGCAGAAGGACTTGAGTCAGGGCAAAGGCTTTGCTCTTGTTCTGGGAAGATAAAGACACAAAAAGACACTAAAGCAAGGGTAGCTAAAAAAGGAAGCCTTTGGCGGGGTGGTACTAATATGTCTACACACTGGAGCTGACTGAGATATTCTTTAAATTTTCCAGTGCCTTGCTCCCTGAAGCCACTTCTCTGAGCATGGGTAGAGCATGGGTATGGGCATTTAAAAAATCTCATCTGGTTTCTCATGTGCAGTTAAAATTCAGAACCACTGCTCTCAACCCCTTTCTTGCATCTGAGCAAGGCTGGCCTTCCGCAGCCCTGCCCCACTCCAGTGCCAATGAGTTTCCACCCGCTGCCTTGCTGTTCTAGAAGGAGGGTGGGGCTCAGGTGGGCTTGATTTTATTCTCTACTCACCAACTATATGATTTTGAGCATATAGTGCAGCCCTGTACGGATGGGAACAATACCTGTTGAGTCTATGACATCAGGTGAGGTGAAGTTTCTGGCATTGTCCTGGTAAGCAGGTTGTTACTGGTATTAAGGGAACTCCCTAACAACCTATAACATTCACAACCTTTTCCATTCTCGCCTGTCCTACTTCTCCCCCACTCTGCCTTCATACATGTGCCTACCCTTGCAAAGTGCTAGTTTCTGCCCAGTTCCTCTTGGCATCCTACCCTCGACTGTGGTCAAGAATTACCCTCATCTGCCGCCCAGCAGCACTGGCTGCAGATCTCTGACCTGACACATATACCCGAGACAGGGTCACTCATGGAGGTTGTGGTTAGACTTTGGACTGCTGGAGGGGAAGGGGCCCTGTCTGCTGTATCCAGCACAGATACTCAGGAATACAGCAATTCATACGTAATCTACACTAATGGGCCTCACTTCTCGTAATGTATTATTGCATCGAGAGCCATGAAGCCTGTATCTAAAGGTTCTCATTCTCTTCAAAATAAGATGCAGGGATTTAGGCACAGGGGCTAGTAATCTTGGGGCCTGAGGGACTTTTGGATTCTTCTTAAATTGTCTGCTCGAGGGGATAATTGAACCCCTGTGTTCTCTCAGAAGGGGTCAGGAAGTCGGCACAAGCCTTCACTATCCCTGAACACAAGACAACAAGCAGGGCAGCAGAATTGAAAGGCATCATCCTAACAGCAGTAGATGCTGTATTTGGAAGTGAAGCTGTCTCTGTGGAGTCTGCCTTGCTGCCCACCCAGGATGAACCAGATGTCCACCCTAGATGCCCAG